ACAAGGAGGCAAGAGAGGTAGGGCTGAGCATGGCTGGGGTTACTGCTCAGAACTCGGCCCAGCTGGCATCCTCGCCTAGCTGAGGACTGCCCACTGAGCCCTGGGAGACACTCGGCCTGACTGGCCTGTGGGGTTGTGCACATGGAGCATAAATATTGGGATGCCTCATGTGAAGCTGGTTTGTATAGGGGTTTTAGGGTTGAATACCCACCGCAAAGATAGACTACTGGTGATCACATGCAATCAACCTTGTACATCAAGTACTGTTCTTTATCCTGTCTTCCTAAAGCATTTTGCTAATCAGTGTATTTTGACAGGGAGGTGGGGTAGAGATGGTTGTTGTGGCAGAAGGTGAGGTTGAGTGTGAGTCTGGTGGCTATGCCATGCCAGGGAAGACAGAGCAGCAGGAAGGGCCAGAACATGCACTGTCATGAGGTACACTGGGGCTTGCTCGCCACCATCACACCTGCTAGGCACTAGTTCAGCATCCCTCTTTGAATATGAAATAATAAGTCCATTTGGTCAACCATAAGAGCATGGGTAAAACCTCTAGGCTACTTGCTAGGCTGGGCATATGGTACAGTGGTAAAGCACTTTCCTGGATACCAGGCTACTTTTCCAGGAAAGCAATGGACCCTGTCAGTTGGGACATGTTCCAGGAAGAACACATAGCTGTCAATTCAGCCCTTTAACCAGTTTTTATTGAGAAACCTATTCCATGTCAGTTTGTGTTAGGAGCTTGAAGATACAGCGGTGAGCAGTCAGCCATGGCTTTCTCTCTCTCTTAGATGATAGAGCCTGGAGGGTGGGAGAGACAGCACCAAATGAAAGGATCAGCCAAGACGTGCAAGTGACCCAAGTGTCCATGGATGGATAGATGTTTACTATATAGAATGCTGTGGAATACAGACTGGGATTATCTCCAGCCTCAGAAGGAAGGAGTCATGACAGATTCTGCAGCATGCATGAGCCTGAAAGACGTTGTACTGAGTGAAATGAGCCAGGCACCATAGGACAGCTTCTGGGCAATCCTACTTACATGAAGTAGTGGAAAGAGGCAAACATGGAGAGAGAAATTAGAAGGGGGGCTGCCAGGGTCTGGGGATTGGTTGCCCAACCCTGTGAATGTTCTTAACATGAACTGTATATGTAAAAATAGTTAAAGTAGTTAGTCTATATTATGTGTGTATATATATATATATATATATATATATTTTTTTTT